TTATGAGGAAGTTAACGGAAATGAAGGGGTTTAAATAGTCAGGTGTAAGAGAGACGGTATCCGTACGGTGAAATATGATTGGTCGCGATAACTAGCACGCGGATCACCATCTTTCATAGAATTTAAATAAAGGCCGTTGGATTAAGGCCTTTATCCACGGTTGAAGACATGAAGAACTGAAGGAAAGGGGAAGAAATTGATGTTTTGAGTAGCTGATCTGTTTTTGGTCTCAATTGATTTTAGCATAACTTGAGCTATAGTTTATGGAATTTGATGAGGTTTTTACCATTGTGTAGGTTATTCTATAAGCTTTCTAAGGAATATTTGTTTGAATATTTTTGATTAATCATTTTGGGAGAAATTTGATTTTGAATCTAAATTGATCAAAATCAGAGTTTACAATGATGTTATTGTAGTTTCGGACGATCTCAGGAGAATGTTCGATGCGAATCCAAATTTTTTTTATCACATTTGAAAATAGATTAACTAAGGAGTCTGATGGTTGAAAAAATTTAAAAATCGGACTAGAGTTTGATGGAAAAATATTGCTTGGAATGATGCCGAACTTGAACATGTCCTATTGATGTTCATGTGTGTTATAACTTACTTAACATGTAACCTAGTCCATGGAATGAATTTGAAGGGTGTAATAAAAAAAAATCTTGTGTAATACTCTATGAATACATTATACATATTAATCACGAACATAAAATGAATCGAATCGAATCAAAATCATCAATCATTAATCAATGTATAAACATGCTAAATCATCATATTCCATGATTATCAAGCTAAAACAGCATGTTAGGGATAAATTGTTTGACTTAGTATATCATTCATTCTTTGGTTGTACCATGGCGTCTAATCAAATCAAAATGGTCTAAAATGTTTCATTGAGCATGACATCTATCTCAACTAATTTGTATACGACTCTTAATCCTTATATGCTCTGTATGACATGGGATGCAAATATGCAAGAATATGCAAATATGACAAATGGGCAGGCATGTCCATATTCTCCTTTCTTTATAATCATACTCACTTAATATTTTTTATTTATCACCTACTCATCACTCACTACTGTAAAATTTTCAAATCTACTCCTACATCGGTATATTCTCAAATTCAACACCACACCTACTATCTAACTAGATACCCACCACTATCCCATCTCTGTCTTTACCCACCCATACCTACAATTTGAGATAGGATAAATCATGGTTTTCAATTCTAAAAATGTTTATACCCTAACATTTAGTTAAATTACAAGTCACGTATGTCCTATAAAATCTTAAGATTTACATAATAATTTATGAAATTATAATTAAATTCATAATGGTCCAAAATTTACATAGTAGGTAGTTAATGGACTGGCGGATACGAGACGGATAATGTCTCAAACCCATCACCTACTCATACTCACGCCCACTAAACTTATATCAATCTCCACCCCAATTGGAGCGGGTACCGTGCGAAATTCATAAAATTGTACCCGTATGCCATCCTGTTAATGTCATTCGGTGTTTCATCATTTTCTGGATCATTTCCCAAACACTTTCATAGCATTAATGGCACTTTTTCCATGTTGTGTTCTCATTCTTGTTTAGGCAGACGTGGATGCTGATGTTGTTGCATCAGGGTACCAAAGAAGAGAACGTTCAAGAAGTTCAGTTTCAGAGGTGTCGATCTCGATGCTCTCTTGGATATGTCCACTGATGAACTCGTCAAGCTCTTTCCTGCTCATGTTCGCCGAAGGTTACCTCTCGTTATTTTCTCTATTTGATTTTCTTCTTCTTCAATGGATGTTAATTTTGAAATTTAGATATTTCATTTCTGCTATTTTAGGTTTCAGAGGTTTGAAGAGGAAGCCAATAGTTCTAATCAAGAAATTACGCAAGGCTTTGAGTATTCTTCTATTTTCCTTCTTTTTTTCAACTATATGATGAATTAACTGATACTTTAGAGTTTATGTGTGTTTGCTTAATGCGTGGATCTGCATATGTTTAGTGTTGAGAGTAAAAACTTAAAATGCCTAAGATTTTGGATTAATCTCTCATAATGTTTTTCATAGTATTGTGGTTGGTTGTGTATTTGCTTTCATATGTTAGAGTAGACATAGATAAATTGCATTAATGAACATCTACGGTTTCAAAATGCTTTCTAGATTCAATACCTAGTCGTCTATTGTTCGTAGTGGTTTTCGATATCCACTTTGTTTATAGTGCACATCGGGTGATCTGATTTTCTGTAACTCCCTTTCGTAACGGATTACCATATAGTTCTACATTGCAGTTGTTGTTCCCTCTTGCTTGGTTCTCACATAATATAGTTTCCTGTTTCACAAGCAACCTTGTGGGAAGCTTATGATGCCGGGGCTCATGGCTGTAGTAGCTTGCTATCATTTTCTGTTATATCACGGTACATAAAACTATCATTTCATGACTATCTTTCTTTCCCCTTTGCCCTTATTTTAGCTAATGTAGTGTCATTTTAGCATGTCTCTGTTGCATGAGATTTGTGGATGCTGTTGCAAATTTTGCCAGTGAAGTAGGTAACTGATTTCTTGACTTGTAATAATAAGTTTCACTTGAACTGCTTTTATTTTATTCCTCGCAAATGATGATCAAAGCAATTATTGGTAGCGACGAATATCGAGAATGTTATTCTGCTGTCTTGAAATAGAAACGGGAGGCTCCACCTGGTGAGAAACCCGAGACGATTAGGACGCACCTCCGCAACATGATTATAGTTCCTGAAATGATCGGTAGTATCATTGGTGTTTATAATGGAAAGACCTTCAATCAAGTGGAAATTAAGCTGAATTCTCGATCTCATACAAGCCAGTGAAGCACGGAAGGCCTGATACTGGTGCCACCCATTCATCCAGGTTTATTCCACTCAAGTGAATGTCTTCACTTGATCATAATCATAAAAACTTCAAATCTTGTCACCAAGGTCACAGTTATAGTCGGGAAATGAAAATTTTGCATACCTAATTTTTTAATAATATAATATTCTAGTTGTACTATACGCTAATGGGATTGTCTCCGGAAAGGCGGACTAATATACGGCTAATATACGGCGTTACCGGATATATTAAAATATATTTGACAAATTCGGTTTAGCGCTACTGGAAATATCGAATAATAATAATGTAATAGGTGGAAATCATGAAAAAATATTAAAAAATTTGGTAACCGGCAAACTTAGCTTGTCGGTTTGTGTCGATACTTTATAAAAATATATTGATCCATAACAATATAACAAGTAAAAAAAATGACAAAACTGGTCTATAAATGACAAAACAGGTAAAGCGCTATCGGATATATTGAAAGTGTCAATACTTTATAAAAATGTATTTATCCATAATAATATAACAGGTAAAAAAAATGACAAAACCGGTCTATAAATGACAAAACAGGTAAAGCGCTACTGGATATATTGAAAGTGTCGATACTTTATAAAAATGTATCGATCCATAATAATATAACAGGTAAAAAAATGACAAAACCGGTCTATAAATGACAAAACAGGTAAAGCGCTACCGGATATGTTGATAGTGTCGATACTTTATAAAAATATATCGATCTATAACAATAAAACAGGTAATAAAAATGACAAAACCAGTCTATAAATGACAAAACAGGTAAAGCGCTACCATATATGTTGATAGTGTCGATACTTTATTATAAGTATCGACACTTTTGGAATTTAAAAGAGAAGAAATTATAGCGCTAATAAAGTGTCGATACTTTATAAAAATGTATCGATCCATAACAATATGACAGGTAAAAATATGACAAAACCGGTCTTGAAATGATAAAACCGGTAAAGAGCTACCGGATATGTTGATAGTGTCGATATTTTATTATAAGTATCGACACTTTTGAAATTTAAAAGAAAAGAAGTTATAGCACCAATAAAGTGTCGATACTTTATAAAAATGTATCGATCCATAACAATATAACAGGTAAAAATATGACAAAATCGATCTCGAAATGACAAAACCGATAGTAAAAAAATGTGCTCGTGTGGTCATTTTTATTTCAGAATTTTTATTTTTTAATACAAAAAGTTGGATATTTTAAACAAAACCCAGTAAGAAAATAACAAAAACTTTGCAGTAACAAAAGAATAACATTAGGAAACCCACCATGTTATCAGTTTCTCAAAGAACAAAAACCCAGAAACAGACATCTCTCAACGCAAACTATTACATTATAATATAATAGGTGAATTTACAATGTTACCGGTTTAAATATACATATTTAGTTAGAAAATATGTCAATATAAATGCTACCTATTACATTATGTAAGCGCTACCTAATATATTATTGTACTTGATAATATTTCCGATTAAATGATATAACATAACAGGTCTAAATTTTAACCGGTTACTTATTTAACAGGTCATTTTAACCGTTTTTTAAGCGTAGCACAGCAGAATTACCCTTCGCTAATACGCAAGAAAATTTCACCATTATCCCACAGCTTTACTTATAACTATTCAAGCAAGCTTAAGACTTCAAGGTCGGGGAAAATGGCAGCCTTTTTGGCAATGGAAGAGGGGAATGGAATTGAAATGTGTTGTCAAGCCATGTTAGTTTACGAAGTTCACATGCCTTGTTGTTGCGAGGCTCATACATTCTAAATAATTGGGGGGTGATAACTCAGCTTGCCAGTTTCGTGTGCTCTGGCTGGTTATGTCATATTCACAAGTTTCCAGCTGTATGTACAAAAATGCATAACCTGTTGAATCCTTGAAGGTTCACAGAAACTAACAAATATAACCTAAAATGTGAAAACAAGCATAAAAAAACGATGGCCCAAACTTGGTAGTTGGGAGAAAATTTCGACAGTTTTAGTTTGGTTCCAAAAATCATCACTCCTATGCATGCAGAGCCGGCAGCAGCAGCCCAACTCCCAACTCATGACATGTTGCACATAAAAGAAAATGCAACCCCACAACCTTTTTTTCTGAAAAAATACACCATAGATAACACCAATGGCATCTCATTTAATTCAAAAGGTTCAACCCTTTTTTCATTGCCATGGAAGATGAAATAGTTCTTTACACTTTAAACCCACTTTTGGTTCAGCATTAAGCTTGATGCCTGCTTCTAAATTGTTAAAAAGGCTTCCCAGTCCAACTCTCCAATCCCCACCCCAAATAAAAGGGAGGGAAAAAACTGTTCAGATATGCAAAAAAAATGTACATGACTGAGTCGAGCCGACCTTAGTTGATTGAAGGTTGAAGACATGTCTTTACCAGAGTTTCCACCATAGTTGATTGAACATTGAAGACATGAAGAATTCTTTAGCAGAGTTTCCACCGAGATTAGGTCATCGTTTGCGATGGTAACTTTGGGTGGTTATGCTCACCTTCATAGGTAACAATAAGCGTCGACGGCTCCTCCAAGCACCTCTCCACATGCTTCCTTGCTGGGCAACCTCTCATACTGCTGCATTTATAATATCCCCTGGCACCAAATAAAAAGAAAAAGCGTCTGAGTCGGTATTTTGCAATGGATTCCACTAACCTCACACAACAAATTAGCAAGCTTCCCATAAACACTTTAAAATTGCAATGGAAACTAGCAATACCATTAATCAACAACTTAAAACATAAAAAATTAAAGAATTTCAAGTCCCCTATGGAAGTGACAATCAGATATCACAGATGCTACGATCATAGAGTTCGTTAGTTCCATAACTTTTCTGTTTCAGTCTAAAAGTGCATGTATCTGTATGCACTAAAATTTGTAATGTCAAAAGCAAAACCAAGGTGGCAACACCAAAATTTGTATTGACAATGTATCAAATATCAGTATGTTATATAATGATAATGATTACCTAGGGTGAGGAGAACCCTTAATCGGCTTCTGTCCGTATTTCCTCCACGAATAATCATCAGTAGGAATATCAGCAAGCTTGTTACTGATAGCAGGCACCTTGATTGATCTCTTTATTCTATGCTTCCTGTCAAAACGATGCAACGAATCAATTGTGAGAAACTAATGTCAAAAGCATAATTCTGTAATGATCCAAAATTGCAAAAAAAAAAAAAAAGTAAATGGAGAGAATCGAACCTCTTTTTCGAGCAATGGCATTTACCACTACTGCCACATTTGATTCTCCCATCATCTCCCTTGCCCGAGCACTTCTTCTTGTGTTGAGAACCCTGATCCGAGGCTCGAGGTGCCCCGATCAAATGGAAGGCGTTCCCTTTGTGGAAATTAGCTACACTTCCATCAATACTAAGGGAAGAGATGAAAGACCTAGTCGAGGACATGGTAGGCGTGCAGCTAGAGCTATCAAAGTTCAAGTTAATCCCGCTGTTACTCTTCCTTAACAACATCTCAGCTTGAAGCTTCATTTGATGTTGCCGTTGGAGCTGTAACCTTTGTTGCAACTGTTGCTGTTGTTGTTGTTGGAGGAAATTATAGTGGCCGGGTGGTGCCTGTTGGGCGAGATGAAAAGGGGTTTCCCCATTTGAACTCAGTTCCAAAGATGGGTTTCCAGAATACAGAGAACTCTTGGCATGTGAACTCACTTCCTGAACTGAGTTTTCATGAAAACCGAGTTGCAAATCCTTGGATGGACAATCTGGTGGCTTGTGGCGTTGATTGTCCAAAAGGATGCTATGAGGAAAAGGGGTTTGTAATTTCCTCTGCTTCCTCACTCTTGCATGTCCCAAACCAGAATTTAAAAGAGAAACTACTCTTTTGAACCTAAAAACAGCTTCCCCAGTTTCAGCCATTAAATTCCTGTAATGAACTTGATCTTGAGGCTGAGACAAAATACTCAAAACTCTATGGCAGTTCTCTACTGCTGCCTTGTTAGCTTCTTCAACCTCGTCCATATTACCACCAAAAAATAATTCCCCAAGCTCAAATTAGATCTTTTTAAACACTAAAAAGAAGACCCACCACCCAAAACTCAATCTTCAAGTCACCCAAAGACTCAAACAAGGATTGCGTTCTACTTTCCTGAACAGAGAAGTACCAAGAAACGAGTATAAGATTCAACAGGGGCAGTAAAAGAAAGCTAATAAAAAATGAGAGAAACCAAAACAAGGATCAAAGCAGAAACCAAATATCTCTCACCCCACCCCCAAAAAAAACAGACCTTGTTGGACTTGGTGTTCTCAAGCCCTAAATTCTTCAGCACCCACGTTTTATTTTTAAAATTATTCTGAGACTGAAAGGTGTGAAAGAGAAGACTTTGTCACCGAGAGAATTTCACAAACGGCCATAAGCCCATAACGCAAACAAAAAGCTACCATCTTTTTTACTATATTATATTACTAAAGAAATGAATTCGAGACAGCGAAAGAAATTCAATGGAAGGGAGATTTATAAATAAGGGGGGTAGGGGAAGAGATGAAGCAATGAAACTGCCGTCTCCATCACAGATTTGACGGTGGGACCCAAGCAAAAGACCTTGGTTTCATTATCTATTTTTTCTTATTATTTATTCTCCTGCCATTTATGGGTCTTTAATTACTGCTTAAGCCTGCCATTTCAGTTTCAGAATTTTTTTTATCGTCACTTGTTCCGGAACCAGACAAGCTTTGAGGGTTCCTTACAGTTTGTCTTGTACTGCCGTAAATTGCAGAGTTATTGAGAAACTGGCCAAGGGTTGGGCACACTGGAGATTCACCCTTCAATTCTCCTCTTTTGCTCCTTTTACTTTTTACATTATGTTTTAATTATTTTACATACCATAATCACATTGAGTACCGATTTAATTTAGAGTCAGTCGGCACGAAATAAACAATTTTAATAATTAAGAGATTATTATTATCTCTTAAGATTTTATATTTGAGCACGTAAACAGGAATACGTTAAGTGATTGAAAGAATTTGAATATGTATTACCTTATATTCAATCAAAATTATTATAAAGTCGAGTAATGTTAAAATAATTTTTTAAATTAAAAATACATTTTTAGTGATAGTTTTTCAATTTATAATAGGGTAAAGTATAGATTTAGTAACTGAATTTTACTATTTTTATTTAACTTGTTGTATTTTAAATTTTTTCAATTTACTCTCTGAACATGATACATTGGGTTTTTTGGTCACTCAATCGTTTTCTCACTAACGACGTTATGACGTGGCTTTTTTACCCAAAAAGTCAATGCATAAAGTTCAGTGATTAAATTAAAAAAATTAAAAGTATAGTAAATGAAATAGGAGAGAGGGAGGGTAAAGTACCTAATTATAATTCTAATAAACATGTATAAACTAAACTGACTCGTTGGTTACTATCTTTGAGATGTTGGGATTGGGAACCAACGATTGCAGAGTATTAGTATTCGATGTTAGAAGGTTAAGAGTCTTTAGAGCATATACTATCACTTATAATTACCCGATATTAATAAAAAAAAAGTTATCTTCTAAATATTAGGGAATTTATTATAGTTATTTGATTATTTTTCATTGAAATATTTGTGAATGAAAATGCAACCATAATATTTATTAAGGCTGAGCATATACTTGTCAATGAAAATGCATGAATGCAACCATCGACGTCTAATAATTAAAAAATGTACACCGTTGTATTAAACACACTCTCCAAACTTAATTAATTTAAATGTGCTTTTAATAAGATTAGCGTTTGATTGAATCGAGTTTAAAACTTTTGAGTTAGTTCTATTTTATAACTCCAATTTTATTTTATTTTTTTTCAAGGCGAGTCAAGTTATTCGTGTTTTTGTTTAAATTTAATTATAGATATTTATAATATTATTGTGGTTAAATAATTTTCTATAAATATATATAATACATATATTTTTTCACATTTTTTCATATGTGATATAATATATTGTACAAAATTGAGATGCTCTATCAATATTCTAATTACTAAAAAAGTCAAGGGTAAACTACACCAATAGTCACTAATGTTTAAGTAAGGTTCAGTTTTTCCCACTGAAGTTTCAAAAGTAACAAATTGGTCACTAATGTTATCGATTTGTAACAAAATGATCACTAACGTTATCGATTTGTAAAAAAAAATGGTCACTCCACCGTTATATCTATTAAATTGATGATGTGGCAATGTTAATAAAAAGGTTAATATTTAGTTTTACCCTTAAACTACTGTTAAAACATCAAATAAGTCCTTAAACAATGATTTTATATATAATTTATCCCAAAAGTCTTATAATTTATAGTTTTTTTTAAACATCCCACCACCACAACTATATTCGAACCACCTTCCTTACAAAATTAAATTTCCAAGTTGATTCAAGTTTATAAAATTCGAGCTGAGTCGAATCGAATTTTTGAGTTTTTGTTTAAATCTAATTGTGAATGTTTTATAATATTATGATATTATTCGTTCCAATTTCAATGGTTTTTTTTATAATCATATACAATACATATACATTTCTTCATATTTTTCATATATGATATACATGTATTATATAAAGTTGAGGAACTCGACTCAAACTTGAAAAACAATCAACTAATTACTAAAAATTCCAAGTTATTGAAGGTGTATTTACAACTCGATTTGAACTTGAAATTTTCTTGAGTCGAGTTTATGAAATTAGAACTCGAGTTGATTCAAGTTGAGTTTTTTGGAATCGAGTCGATTCGAAAAGATCGATTTTTCGAGTCAAGTTTTGCTCACCCCTACAAACTAACAAGTGAGAGTTTGTTTAAGTGTGCTTTTTGCTTTGTAAGGAAAGTGGTTAGAATATAATTGAGATGGTGGGATGTTAGAAAAAATTGGAAATTAGAAAGCTTTTGGGACAAATTAGATATAAAATCAATGTTTAAGGACCTATTTGATGTTTTAACAATAGTTTAGGGGTAAAACTAAAGAATGATCTTTTTTATTAACGATACCACATCATCAATTTAACCGAGATAATGATGAAGTGACCATTTTGCTACAAATCGATAACGTCAGTGACCATTTTGTCACAAACCGATAACGTTAGTGACTAATTTGTTACTGTTGAAACTTCAGTAGAGAAAACGAAAACTTATTCAAACATTAATGACCATTGGTGTAGTTTACCCGAAAATCAAACTGTTCGAACTACTATTCAAGTTATTCGAGCTATATTTTACGATCAAATTCAATTTATTTTTTTAAACCGAGTAGAGCCAATTCAAATCGAAACTATCTATTTTTAAGTCGAATTTTGTTTATCCCCTACTCGTAGTTTTCATTTGAGGATCTGTTCTTAAACAACACAAAACAGAAGCCTTGAACATAGGCAGAGCCCACATGCGGAAGGGATCACAAAGTAGAGTAGTACATCACTATATTGAAATCTTAATACTCAATTCTTATACTTTAAATTGAAATCTTAATTTGATAAATCATTAAAATAAATATTAATGTATAAATTTTACACGTCATATATATCAAATTATTTTTCATACAAATAATAAAATTCATAGGATTTGTTCAAATCCTTTTAAATATTATATTCATTGTAGACATGCATTGAACTTTTAGTGAAAATGTCAAATTTCAAATTTTAGTATTTTATTGAATAAATTAATAATCCCACTTAATGGCAAATTTGACCCAATAAGGTATATGAGTTTTTTTATTTAGTCCATTAGGACAAGTTAAGTCAAAATTTATTTTGAGATCTATGGTCTTTTTTATAGTGACAAAGGTGACGAGTTCCAATAAAAAATATTTTTTATTCTAACTTTTTATTTCGACATGATAAATTTTAATAAAAAAATATATTTTATTCGAACTCGTCACGTCGGTGATGAGTTTGAATAAAAAAATATTTTTTTATTGAAACTCGTCACCTAAACGTGACGAATTCTAATAACACTATAAAAAATAACGTAAATCGCAAAATATATTATGACTTGCCCGCTAAATAAAAAACTCATTATCAGCCCCACTTAATACCATAATAAATTAACAATAATAGACGGATTGACACGTGAGGGTTCCTTGTGAAATTTAAAAGAAAAATAAATATTTAAAATAGGGTAAATTATACAAATGGTCTCCCAATTATAAGATATTAAACTTTTAACTCCTTCAACTATTAAAAATTACAAAATAATCATTTAATTCATATGTTCTAAACTAGTTGTTTTCTATTAAAAGATGACGATTATCTGAACTGGATGTTAACTTGGTGACTGAAATATGATAAAATTATATTTTAATGATGCATGCTAGTATTATCGCTACTTTTAAGAGCTGACTCAGTGACATGAAATTTCAATCATTGACATGACGATATAATATAAATAAAGAGTTAAACCACAAAATACAATTCAAATGATTAGAAGATCAAATTTTATCATATCTCGGTCAACATGTTAAAGTCAAGATCAAACAATCGTCAGTTTTTTTCATGCAAAATGATGAATATAGAACATATGAATAGTCACATGACCATTTTGTAACATTTAATAGTTGGGTGACTCAAAAAATAGTGCTCTATAATTTAGGGATCATTTGTATTTTTTGATAATTTGGGATCGATGACCGCATCGTGCTTACGGTTGTTGCCCTAGTTTTGACCGACGTTGGCTCAACGTGTTGGTTTCCGTTTTGGTTGGGGCTTTTATCGTGACACTACACGCTGCGTTTAGGGAACGGAAGATTTGTACACCGATGAACCTGACGATTCAGAGGGCGGGCTGTTTTCGGTTGGAGGCAGCCCCACCGGAGCTGGGTACACCCGCGTTTAAATCCAAATTGTTAACGCTGATAAATTGATCACTTTCAGAATTTTCTTCTTCTTCATTGGTTCTTTTAATTTTGTACGTAATGCTTTGAAAAAGAATAGGGATTCAAGCCTTCATCTAAAACTGAAGATAAATACCAAAAATTAAGTCATAAACGTATACTTCTGTTAAGCTCTGTGTGATGATAATTTTCTTCCCCTCTCTCTGGGTTTGGATCTATCGTTTATTGCTTGAAACAGGGGTCACTGCAAGAACAATATTGATCCTTGTGAATGGACAATGTAAGAGCCAGTTGAGTTGCCAATGAAAGACTAGTCACAAAGATCTCGATAACGAATCGATGTTCGATAGCCACAAAGATCTCGATTATATTATATGAAC